GAGACCCGGTTTCACCATCTTGGCCAGGCTGGTCTTGAATTCCTCACCTTGTGATCCACCTGCCTCGGCCTTCCAAAGTGCTGGGATTACAGGCAGAGCCACCGTGCCCTGCTCAATCCTTTGCTATCATTAATTGTTAGATGTGTCTTGCTTCCTCCACTCCCCACCCCACAAACAAACAGAAGTGCTTGCTCCAAGATCCCCGAGGGAATCTGTCCCTTGAGAGGGTCAACCTGGCCAAGGTAGAGCATCTAGTCATTCCGTCAAACTCAGTCTAGATGTTACTGGGAAGGTATTTAGTAGATTCGTTGACTTTAAGTAAGTGAGATTATTCTCCATAGTTTGGGTGGGCTAAATCCGGTTGGTTGAAAGGCCCTGCAAGCAGAAATGAGATCTCACCAAAGAAGGAGAAATTCTGCCTGCCAACTGTGGTGTAGTCCCTGCTCAAAGTTGCCAGCCTGCCCTCCTGATGGCCTGTCCCTGGATTTCTGACTTGCCAGACCCACAGTCACATGAGCCTATTCCTAGAAATAAATCTCTTGATGTATGTGTGTATGTTTGTGAATCTTACTGGCTCTGTCTGGTAGAACCGTGGCTGATACATCCCTACACCTTTCATTCTACTTAACATTGGTGTCATAGCAGCTCAGTGTGTTATTAACTATCTTGGATTTTCTCCTTACTTCAGGGATGACAGTCTTGTGGCTCCTCCCAGCCTGGGCATTTTCTCCCACATCAAGTGCAAAGTATGTGCCCCAGCTATCCATGTGTTCCTCGGCTGGGGAAAGTTTCAGGTAGCAGAAGCAAGAAGTTTTTCAATAAAGGGGATTATTTACCACTGCCTTGGATCTCTTTGCTCAGTGATTTTCAGGCTGTGAAACCAGGTTTTGAACTAACAGTGATCTGATTGTTCATTCCTTTGTATGATTTTTAAAGAATCTTTTCTTTGTATGTGTGACTTGAGAATTTTACCATAAAATGGAATAAGTACTGATTGTTAAACTGATCAATGTTAATGGAACCTCGGAAACACTGGACTGGGGTAGGGTTCCTGTCTCCACACAGCTGTGCTGCCCATCACTTATTCCAAGGAATTGCTTGTCAGTTCCCCGTTTCAACATAAGCACTTGTTTCTGCCTATCCTGCTGCTGCATTTATTTACGGTGATTGTTATGATAATATTAGGTCACAGATGTCACAAGGCTTTGGGTAGAATTGAGCTCAGTGGCAGAATCAAGGAACCTGAGCTTCAAAACATCCTAAATGGGAAAGGTTTAGTTCAGTACCAGGTGTAGCAGGGAGAAACTCAAATGTTTGCCCTGGGGACATGCAATCCTAGTTGATCTTCTCAATGAGTGCCTTGTGGTCATTTTCTTTCTCTAGACTTAGCTTCTTGGTAAAAACTCAAGCTTTGAGAAATCTATTTCAGAAATTCACATGCGCAGTAAGACTGAGGAAGGGAAGGTATCAAAACGTTTTCCCCTTTTCTAACTTGTTCTACTGGTGAGTAGTGACTGATGGAAGGCAAACAGCCCTCCTCTAGATGAAATCAGGCAGAGCTGAGAACATTGGAGTTGGAGAGTGGGGGTACGTCATGGGGAGAACCTCTCTCAGGCATTGGTCAGGGGCTGTTAGCTCAGATGATACAAACCAAAAATGAGCTACTCTGGACTGGCTCACCTTTTGTCTATTTTGCAGTCCTAGAAATGATTTTTTAAAAATCAGCTCTAAAAAATACTAAATATGATTCTAAAAGAGCCAAGCCAAATAACACTGCAAGTGTAGGGTGGCTTCCATATTTGCAGCCTTCCCAGTTTGAATACTAAAATGAAAATTTGGGGCGGTGTGGAATGTTCGCCTGGACACCAAGGGTGAGGGAGAGTCTGCAGGCTGCTTGGCTGCCTTTCGCAGCATTCCAGAGCCCATGGGGGTGCAAGGGGCCACAGCCCAGGCCTTCTAGCAGCCTGGAGAGCGTAGGGAGCCACCCTTCCTGCCCCTAGATCTGCTGCCAGGGAGAGGCAGCGGCAATCCTGTGTTTCACACGGGATTCCTGACGGTTCCGAGTGTTTCCGTGGGCCTTGTGTAGATACCTCCACCCCCATGATGCGCCCCACCCTTTCCAGCTTCGCTACTGGGAGTGAACGGAGGGGACCCTCCTTAGCATTGCAGTGACCTGCACAGACTGAGTCGCTCTCCTTAGCAGGTCCAGTGACCACGTGGTAGGGTGACTTAGAACTTGCAGGAAACCCAGTAAGATACCATTAGACCCTACCAGATTAGCGAAACTTCTCAAGCGTGAGGACGCCAAGCGCGGGGAGGCTGAGGCTCGACCGGACCTCTTCCACGTAGTGCTGGAGGCCCAGGCGCCGCGGCTAGGGGGAGACAGATGCTCTGGACCACGGCCGCGGCCCGGGCCCTGTGTGCGTGTCCCCGGCTGCCCTGCTCACGGGAGCCCCGGACTAGCCAAAGGCTCATGGCCGCAGGGTAGACGAGTAACTCATGTCTCTGCATCAAGGAGATGGACACACGACACAAGTGAATCTGAAAAACAGGATGGTGAGGGACAAGTTGAGCAAGAACGCGCGCTCAGTGATTCAATTTACAGGAATATTAGAAATGCGCGGGCAGCAAACGCTGCTGCTGAGGAATGTGAACACGGGCGGCCAGGCTCCGACGCAGGAAAGCTGCTCCTGCAGGAGTCAGAGCGCCGGCCTCCAGAAGCGGGTGGAGGCTGCGGTGGGCAGCCGGGGGTTTGCTTTGTAATTCTTCTGGAACGTGGGTTGTGGCTTGTTCAGTCTCGATATGTTTGTGTCCCATGTGCGTAAACAAAAGGAAATGGAGAGTGGCTCTCTAAAAGGGGGCTGCGGGTCACGGTAAGTGGCCCTCGCCCTCGCCCTGGCGTGTCCCCTGCTCCCCCCTCGCCAGCGCTCTGTCTGCAGATGCAGGGCGGTGTCTGTGTCGGCACATGGACCCGAGGCACCTGGGTGTCGCCTGCCACAGCCGGTTGTGGGGCAAGGCGAGGGTTGCGAACCCCTTTTCTCTCTTCTTGGGGGACCACTAGGGCTGCTTCGGAGGCTCAGGAGCCTCGAGACCAGGCCCAGGCGCCCCAGGCCCGCCGCAGGGCAGAGGTCGCCGTCCCGCAGGTGGTTGTGCCCGGGTCGCCGCAGAGCCCTCCGGACCCAGCAAGCCCGCAGCTCGGAGAAGGCCCTCTAGTCAAAGACAGGCTCTGGCCTCAGCCCTGAGGAGGGAGACGCCCGGTGGGCCACTGGCCCAGGCCGGTGGCTGGGGCCGGGCGCGGGCGTAGGAAGGTGCCCGGGGTAGAGAAACGGGGTTCAACTGAGGGCAGGTGGGGCCCAGGACGCGATGGGAGGGGTGTGGCCGCCTTGCCCGAGATCAGGGGCACTCGCCGGCCGCAGCCCGGGCCTGGCTGCAGGGGCCGCTGCTTCTGTCCCACAGCGCTGTGGTAAAAGGCAGCACTCAGATGAGACCTGGGGCGGCGGATTCCGTGGGAGTGCTGCCAGTTTGAGCCGTGAAGGCATGGGGGAAAAGGTGGCGACTTCTCTCCCTCAGCCCTCCTGACAGTGGTGGTGCCCAGCGCGGAGGCATCCTCGACAGAGGGAACCGCAGTGGAGCGCCAGCGCCTACAGATCATTATCTGTGCTTCCATCCCAAAAGCCATCTGCCTCCTTCCGAAAGCCACGTGCGGCCAAGGAACACAGGTGGCTGATCAGACAATCTAACTTCAACACATAACAACTTGTCTCTTGCTTTGTGATTTACACTGCGGAAGATTCTAGGGCCCCACTTTGGCAACCAAACCCATGGTTCTAAGCTGCATTTCATCAAATAATATCACTTTTGACAAACTCATTAAAAGCTGAACAAGGCCAGACTTGCAGGCAGGTGAGGCCTGGAGAGCACCTTGAGTCTTTTGATGGCTCTAATCTTACTCCCCTAGGGTCCTAGGCAGCAATCAGAAAATCCTTCCTGCCCTTTTCCTGCTATGCCCCTCCTCACACTCCCTTTGCCCTTAGCCTCTCCTACTCCCTGCAAGCTGCAGGCAGTCTGTAAGTTGTGAGGTGAGATGAGGAGGCAGGGAAATCAAGAAGAATTGATTTCAAACCCTAGTGGATTGCAGGGATGGAAAAGATGAATTGGTGTTTGACCATTTCACAAAAAAACTCTTTTTAGACACACACACACACACACACACACACACACACACGTGTGTCTCACTCTGATGCCCAGGCTGGAGTGAAGTGGTGAGATCTCAGCTCACTGCAACCTCTACCTCCCAGGTTCAAGCACTTCTCGTGCCTCAGTCTCCTGAGTAGCTGGGACTACAGGCATACACCACCATGCCCAGCTAATTTTTTGTATTTTTAGTAGCAATGGGGTTTCACCATGTTGGCCAGACTGGTCCAAAACTCCTGACCTCAGGTGATCTGCCCACATTGGCCTCTGAAAGTGCTGGGATTGCAGGCATGAGTCACCATGCCAAGCCTTTTATAACATATAATAATATTTTAATTTTGTCATGCAAAATTCAATCAAAATACTATCATAGGTTGAGCATTCCTAATCTGAAAATCCAGAATTCCCCAAAATCCAAAACTTTTTGCATGCTGACATTAGATAGTGATACCTTTGCTTTTCTGATTTTTTGTGTACAAAAACTGTTTCATGCACAAAATTATTGAAAATACTGTGTAAAATTACCTTCATGCTAGGTGTATATGAAACATAAATTTCGTGTCTAGAGTCGGGTCCCATCCCCAAAATATCTCATTATGCATATGCTAATATCCCCAAATCTAAAAAATATCAGCCATCCAAAACACTTCTGTTCATAAGCATTTTAGATAAAGGGGTACTTACCCTGTATAGTGCTTTGGAGAAGAGTTCGGGCTTCTGCTCTAAAGAAGTTAGGATGGAAGTGGTACTCATGAAATTGTCTTTCCACAGAACTCATTTATGTGCCACCCATTTTCTTCATGTAGGAAGGAATTGTGTCTCCTAGTGACCTGGACCTCGTCATGTCAGAAGGGCTGGGCATGCGGTATGCGTTCATTGGACCCCTGGAAACCATGCATCTCAATGCGGAAGGTACGCATCTGGTGACAGGATGGGAATTCCATTCTATTTAGTGTTGTCATGGGTTTTATAAACAGTCACATTAGTTGCCTTTTCTTACAACAGAGTAGAGACAGTAGGATGTATAGGAGATGATGGCCAGCCCTGGTGATTCAGACATGGCAGGGATGCGGAGCGCTGATGCACTGAGATGTAAATCCACGTGGAGTCCATGTACCTCAGGGCTCTATGTGGTGCATTGCACTCAGGTGAGAGCTCAGAGGGAGAGAGGCAGGTGATGCTACGGAGACTTCGCTTCATGTCACCCAGCCTGGCAGAAGGGAAAGTGGGAGTTTCCTGAGGAATGTGATGAAATTATTTACAGAGGCAAGAAGAAAATATGGGGGGCTGACTTAGCCCACAGGGAACTCTGCTGGATGAATCTTCTGCCCAAATATGAACAAGGTTTTATTCTAGAAGGCTAGGGAGCCTACAGTGAGGGATACCAGAGGCTAGGAGCTGCGAAGGGGCTTCAGGGTGGGGCAGACCAGACAGTGGCTGGACACCACCTCCAGAAGGCTTGTGCAGAAGTAGTCCGAGTTCAGGATCTGTGATCTGGTAACTCTAAAGGAAAGTTGACTTGAGAAGGACGAGAAGCTTCCAAGAATGAAACTCTTTTAACCAGATTTTAATTGATCCAAAAAGTTGTCACTTGATAACCAATAAAACCTATAGCACATTAAAGCAAAGTATATTTTAGAAACTATGGGCCGGGTGCGGTGGCTCATGCCTGTAATCCCAGCACTTTGGGAGGCCGAGGCGGGTGGATCACGAGGTCAATAGTCGAGACCATCCTCGTCAACATGGTGAAACCCCATCTCTACTAAAAATACAAAAAATTAACTGGGCGTGGTGGTGCATGCCTGTAATCCCAGCTACTCAGGAGGCTGAGGCAGGAGAATTGCCTGAACCCAGGAGGCGGAGGTTGCAGTGAGCTAAGATCATGCCATTGCACTCCAGCCTGGGTAACAAGAGCGAAACATCGTCTCAAAAAAAAAAAAAAAAAAAAAAAAGAAAAAAAAGAAACTATGTATAAAATCTGGAGAGAGATGTAACCTAGATGTTATTATTGCCAGCTATCTCTTGGTGCTGAGATTTTAAGTAACTTTTAGTATCTTTTTGCTTGTCTGTGTTGTTACAAATTTCTACAATTACTATAGTAATAATATTACTAACATGGAAAACGTGTAGAAAGAGAAAAGAAATATCTTATGCATCTCCATGGTCTGCATTTAACAAAGGATACTGAGAAGCTGGGTCTTATCTAGAAAAAGGCGACCAGAGTCTCTTGTATGTCTCTAGGTCTGTATCTTTTGGGGGGCGGAAGTGGAGTAAAAGACTGGAAATGGCAGGCAGTCAGACAGGTTTGGGCTCAGTACATGGCAGGAAGAACTCTCTAGTAATGAGAGCTGATGACCAGGAAAGGCCCGTGCTTTAAGTAGGTGAGCTGAGCAGGGGACCTGGTTGCCTGCCTGTGGGAGGTGTAGATGTTGAGAGGATACTCCCGCTGTGAGAGGGGTGGTCAAGAGTTGCTGACCTCTCTCTCGGTCTGCTTGACTTCAGTTCTATAATGTCAGTATTACATTTTGGTAATAGTTCAGTCAATTTTCACAGTAGTTGTTGAAATATGCTGTCTGATGAATAATTCAAGGCAGCTTTACTAGACATGTACCTGCACACAGCAGATGCACAGATGATTTCTGAAGTGGATGGGCCGTGTGTTCCCTGCTTCACTCCTCATCAGAATCAAGCTAAGAGGAGCTGAAGGGAAGAGGGAAATCTCCTGTTAGTTTTGTGGGAAGATAACCACTGAACAGAGGAAGGTAATGTAGAGAAAGATGGCCTTATGCAATGAAGCAAGAGTTTTGTGGTACCATTAACATAAAGTCTTAGATCATTTCAAATGGTTTTCAACCAGAACCTCAAAACCTGTGAGCATATTTAAGCATTTGAAATGTATTTAGACACTGCCTGATAACCACTGTGTTTTTCTTTCCTTTTTTTTTTTCTTGAGAAAAATTAGATAATTGAGTTGAGGTATCATAAGAAATCGATAGGGACAAAACTGAGAACAGCTTTGACTTTCAAACAAATAGAAGCCAATGAAACCAGAAACTCAAGGAGCAAACAGTGGCAGACAGGAAGGAGGCCCGTAACAATTTTTCAAACAATGCAGATATGATAAGAAAACCTAATTGGCTTTTTATGATAATGGTGGACGGATGTAGTTTTCAACTTCAGAGCATTCCAAAGACCAGAGTTGGAGAGTTATAAGATCTGGCTGGGAACCCATGGAAATGTTCATCATTCTTCACTCTGTCACACAGAACATATCAAGATTAGAGTTGGGAGCGTTTTTCTTCTTTTCTGATACTGTTTTCATAAAGCCAGCATCTCAGGTTAAGGGTAGTTATTAGCCTGAAAAGCTACAGTTATCAAGAACTAGTGCAAATATTTTAGGATTTATTTGTGATCTAATGAAATAGTTCCTGACAAATCGGAGGCCACAGCGCCATTGCCTTTTGGCTCCTTTTACAAACAACACCCCGACAGATGTGCCCTCAGAATGGTGGTTCTGGCCTGTGGAGCCAGCAGGCCAGCTCCTTACTCTACTGGCTGTATAACCTTGGGCAAGTGACTCAAGTTCAGTGTGTCTCAGTATCACCGTCTGTGAAATGGGGACAGCAGTAACTGCCTCCTCAGGGTGGTGTGAGAATTGAACCAGATGGAAGCTCTTAGCTGCACTGCTACAAAATTCTGTTTGACTATGACATTTATTAAGGACTATTTATCCTAAATAAATAAAGTCCATTTATTAAGGACTTAATAGTCCTTAATAAATGTTGTATTCAAACAGAATTTTGTCTTGTTTGTTTAAGTTACTACTTTTCTAGTTTTTTTTTTTTTTTTTTTTTTAGTTTTAAAATTTTTTCCTAAAAGGTTCACAAGTGCATGAGTGAGGAATAAATACAGATTAGGATTCTTTTCTGTGGCGTGGAGAAGCCTCGCAGCCAGGTACTTAGAGTTTCCCGCTGGGTGTGTTTCTTTGTTGAGCTTTCGACTTGCAGGTCAGTAGAGAGAGGAACCGCTTTGTCCTGTCCCCGGGGTTGTCTGGGCTCCTCCTGTGTTTTGTTCCACTTGAAATGAGGATATCTCAGAATCTGGCAGGGTGGAAATTGCCTCCAGGGGAAGTAGATGTTTATTTACCATTTTGCCTCACAGATTTCCCCTCCTGTGTAGACACTTTTTTAAAATTGAGATGCCTACCTGGTGGGTGGCGGGTTTGGTTCATTGATGGGAAGCCATTATTTGCCAGTGGAAGCAGGTGAACTGATGGGCGGGGACTTGGTAGGTGAGGTGAGGGGCCCAGGTCACTTCTGCCTCCCCTACCCTGGGCAAGTCCTCGCTCAGGTGGGAATTTGATCCTGAGAGGGGGAATGAGATAATGTCGCTCTGTGCTTTGAGGCATTTTTGATCTTCCTTAATGAGTTCTGTGAAACCCTGTCTCTAAAAAGCAGGTGAATTCACATAGCTGTGGGCTCATACCTGTGTGAAAGAAAACCACGCTTCTCGGGTATGGGTGGCAATTAGGGCTCACCTAGGAGCTGATGCCCAGAATCCCTCCCAGTGGTTGTGGCCTTGGGCTGGGGTCAAGGCCTCCTCTGGTGCCTGCTCCATCCATGGGAACAGAAAGTTTTACTGCCTGTGCACCTGGGGCACTCAAACCCCCTGTCCCTCAGAGGCCCACAGCCCAAGGCCCCCAAGTTAAAAAGCAGCAAGTTAAGCTGCATCCAATCTCATGAGAATCAATTCTTTTTTCTACTTTGTTTTCTTTTTCTGCATAAGCATCTCTTAAGAAATTAGGTTCAGAATCTTCTAAAAAGCCAAACTCTACAAGAGTTTTTGGAAGAATTAGAACTCAAAAGGACAGAGGGCATGGAAGCGTAGAAGAAAAACCACAGAGGAGGCTGGATTAGATAGAAGTTGTGGGGAAGGGCAGACCAGGGGCATAAAAAGTGAAGTGGGCTGTGTTATGTTCTTCCTATTTCCAAAGAAATTGGAATTTTAGAGTAATTTCCACCCAATTCCCCTCTCATGGTGTAGAGAAGCCAAAATGATTGTTGAAAATAAATTATACCTCTCTAAAATGGAAGGGGAGGAGTTGCAAACAACAGTCACAGTCATACGTTTACTGGGGATGGTCGTAAATAATCAGGCAGATGAAGGTCGTGAGTCTCAGTCACAGTGAACTCCTGCCCTCGGAGCACCTGGAGGCTGCACCCGCCTCATGGTGAGCACGTGGTATAGGCACCTGAACTTCGTCACAGACAGTGGGGCTCTTCATCCAACAAGCATCTTACAAAAAGTTTTTTTAATCAGTAAAATTGATATTTTAAAGGGCTTCCTGAATAAAAATGGGGAAAATTATGAATTGCACTATCATAAATTCCAGCATATTTTATTCTATTTTGAGGAAATAAATGTCCCTTTCAAACTTCACAAAAACAGTAAAAGAAGAAAGTTCTAGAAAGCCCCTAGGAGATTCAAATAGTTTCACAGAACAGGGAGAGATGAACGCTTGCTCAGACAATGTGATGTGTTCCAGAGAGCAGGTGCTGGTGAACGGGACCCGTGGCCTGTGGCTGCTGTGGTGGGGAGGGAGAAGGAACTGGCTGCTGAGGGGTCTCAGGGGGGTGTCTGCCTGCCCCGCACATGGGGGACATGCAGCCACAGCAGCTCTTTCCATTTTCTTCTCGTGTGATATATTTCCAACTTGATTCCTGTGTCTCTGCCCCCACCCCAAAAGGAAGGAATAAACTGTATTTCTGTCTAGATTTTTGTCTTCGTTTTAATAAATAAGCAACTAGCAAAAGTGAAGTAAGTAATTTCCCAAGTGAAATAAACGTATAGGTTGTTTTCCGTTCTCCAGAAATGCTAAGCCATCTACAGTACCTATCCAGTGCCAGACAGCTCAGGAGCCTTCCAGAATTCTGCACTGCCAAATTAACATTTAGGTTAAATGAGACGAGACCCTTCTTTTATAAAGAGAGTACCCACCAGTTAACTGCAGGTGCTAATGTCAGAGAAGTGGCATGTTTGAACTTTTTACTGGTCAAAACCATTTTGGGGGAGATTTTAACACACTGAGAGAGAACTATTTGAAGCAAATGAATGTGGGCCCTCACATCGGCATAGGTCAATCAAAACTAAACCTCAAATGAAGTTTCCTTTTTTTTTTTTTTTCTTTTTAGTGTATCTAACACTGATAGTTCATATTTTAAGTTAATCATCCAGTTTTTGTGGGGAGCGGGGAGCTGAGCTGGGGCAGGCTCTGCACTTTTTGCGGCTTCCTTTGTCTGGGAGTTACCTTTGTAGGCAGACTGACCAGCTACTGAGCCTTTAAGGGCTTGCAAGATGTGGGTGTGGGAAACGGGTCGGGGCGCAGCAGTGGCCCAGCCTGTGTCCTCCACGGCTCCCAGGACTAGAAATGCCTCCTCCTCTCCAGGATCCTGGGCCTGGCTTCTGACTTGACTTGCTAAGCACAGGCCGGCACCCGCCCCAGTCGCCTCCCGGCAGCAGGGAGGGGAGGAACGCTAGGGAGAGTGAATCTGCGGGTCGGGGCAGGCTGAGGCCGGGTGTGCAGTGTGGCTGGCCCTCGCTTGCTCCTGGGCGCACCCCATTCTCAGGCAGTCAGCCTAGCCTGGGCTGCTCCCGCCCTCTCCTTCCAGGATAAGTCTCTTCCTGTGTCTCTTCACCAAAGTCCCAGGGCTCTCTCCTTAGAATCTGAGAAATCATGGCTCCCCAAGGCTGGGGAGCAGCAGGAGTGTGGGGAGCGTGCATGAGGGCTGGTGCAGCTGAGCGCCTGGCTCCGTCCACCGCAACCAGCAAGCCGCAAGCCAGCGTGAGCTCTCCCACCGGTGTTCAAGTGCCTGCAGCCTTGATCGTACCCAATACAGTGCTGAGATCTGTGGCCTAACAGTGAAATAAATGACGGGTTTACTTGACCTCTGACATCTTTAATTCTTGGAAAATGCATTGAGGCCTTGTACACAAATAACCTCAAAGACCCACGGTTGGAGGAGACAGTTTTGTTGACATTAAGACTTACTGTAATAGCGAACGAATCAGTGTGTCCACGTAGGCCACCTGGTGTGTCTGTGAGATGCACCAGCAGAGGTGATATGTCAGGCCTGAGGGCCCAGCACTTTTTTTTTTCTGAGATGGAGTCTTACTCTGTTGCCCAGGCTGGAGTGCAGTGGCAAGATCTTGGCTCACTGCGACCTCTGCCTCCTGGGTTCAAGTGATTTTCCTGCCTCAGCCTCTGGAGTAGCTGAGATTACAGATGCCCACCAACATACCTGGCTGATTTTTATGTATTTTTGGTAGAGACAGGGTTTCCCTATGTTGGCTTGGCTGGTTCCGAACTCCCAAACTCAGGTGATCTACCCACCTCAGATTCCCAAAGTGCTGGGATTACAGGTGTGACCCACCATGCCCGCCCGCCCGGCCAGGCCCGACACTTTTTGACATTCGAACACCCAGGAGCCAGCAGGCCCATGCACATTCCTCAGCTCTGTTTTGTCTTCACAGGGAGGGAAGAGCATAGCTTATCTGACCCCAGGGTGAAACTCTCTGAACGAATTTCTGAGTTTGAGTATAATTAAGAATGTTTTCTTCCGAGATTGCGGATTCTTGTCTTCATGCAATTCCAGGTATGTTAAACTACTGCGACAGATACAGTGAAGGCATGAAACGTGTCCTAAAGACTTTTGGACCCATTCCAGAGTTTTCCAGGGCCACGGCTGAGAAGGTTAACCAGGTATGTAGACTCACCATGGAGAAGCATGCCAGCCACCTGGAGCACTTACTGCCCCTCACCTCTGCAGCCAGTGGGCCTGCATCTGTAGCTGGAATCTTTTTTTTTTGAGATGGAGTCTCACTCTGTTGCCAGGATAGAGAGCAGTGGCACGATCTCGGCTCACTGCAGCCTTCACCTCCCAGGTTCAAGCTATTTTCCTGCCTCAGCCTCCCAAGTAGGTGAGACTACAGGCCTGCACCACCATGCCTGGCTAATTTTTGTATTTTTAGTGGAGACAGGGTTTTGCCATGTTGGCCAGGATGGTCTCGATCTCTTAACCTCGTGGTCCACCTGCCTCGGCCTCTCAGAGTGCTGGGATTAAAGGCTTGAGCCACTGTACCCGGCCTGTAGCTGAAATTTGGCTCTCAGTCTTGGTGGTTCCTCATCCTGACTTTGCTCATGCCACTGAGTCACCAGGACACCTTGGGGGCAGGGTGACCAGTGAACTGGTAGCTCACTGTGACTTGTCTCTGAGGGACTGAGGTTTTTCAAGATTTGGAAAGCTGCTGTTCATTGAGGGTTTACTGTTTTTGTCTTTGAAAGCGGTTTCTATGCAATTTGCATAAATAAGAGCAATAATTACACTCCCGGTAAATTATTTCCTCTTTTTTTCTTCTCCTTCTCACAGGGAATGTGCTTGAAGGTCCCTGATGACCCAGAACACTTAGCTGCCAGGAGGCAGTGGAGGGATGAGTGCCTCATGAGACTCGCCAAGTTGAAGAGTCGGGTGCAGCCCCAGTGAATTTCTTGTAATGCAGCTGCCACGCCTGTCATTGGAGGCCCTATTTGGGAACACTGGAAGCTCTTAATCAGCCCACTGTGACACAGGAGCAGCCCACGGGGATTCTGAGCTGGCTGTCTTGCATGCAGCCCGAGTGCGGTGGTCCAGGCCAGTGGACCTGTCACTTTGGATCATAGCCCTGGGCTTGGGGGCACAGTAGCACTTGGGTTCTCCGGCTGTGGATTTCCTGCCACCTGGGCAGATAACTCAGAGATTTTCACCTTTTCTTTTCAGTGTGATTACATATGACTACATTTTACCACCAGTGATTAGAGTTTCATGTGAATACTTGATAAAATATTTTTGTAATTATTTTCTAATGAGTACTCTGCGGCCCTGCATTTATGAGGCTCCTGCCTTCATTTTGCTAATGCCTTTTCTGAATAAAAGTTTTTGATTCCTTAAAGATGTCTTTTTTCTTCTGATTTTTTTCTGAGAAAAACAGCATTTGATCCTGGTGACCGGCATATTTTAGGGTGACCCTGATGAATAAGTCATAAGCGGATACTTTGTTTCAGGCCCTTCATCCATCACTCAGCATAAATCCAGCAATGTGGGCACTTTCCAGGGTAGGTTCTACAGTGCCCTGAGGCTCTGTGGTCAGATGATGTTTGGGAAACACCATTGACCCCCCCAGCCCTTAGACACCGAATGTCTGTAGCAAATTAAAGGCACCAAAGTTCTACGCTAACGTACCTGTTTGATCTAACATTCTGTTACTGCCTTTGATGTGGTCTTTTCCTAGATCTAGTCCCAGAACACTCTGGGAGTACCAGTACACGCTCCACCACCCGTGAGGCCAGGCACACCACAGTGACTTTGGTGGCCAGATGCCACCACTGGGCTCCCCCGACAGCTCTCAGCCTTGCAGCTTCTGGTGCCCAGCTTCACCCAGCAGGGAGATGCCTTTCTTGGGGCCAGGGCTGTGGAGGTGTTGGGAGCAGTGCCCCTTGTCAGGAGCCTTGTGGAGGTGGTCATCTTGGCTAAGTCATAGACTCCTACATCACAGTCGTTTATTCTCACAGCATGCTCTGAGCGGCTGTGATGTGCCAGGCCTCCCACAGGTGGCCCCTGCCCTTCAGACGGTCACCATAAGAGAACAAATTGAGAATAAAACAGGACCGGTGCTCCAGAGGAATCCCGCACAGGAGAGCCTGGCCAGCTGCCTCCCCTGTGTGCCCTGGAAGGCCTCAAGGAGCTGGCCAAAGAGGGGGTTTGGGTAACAGCTGGAGTCAGCCAGCCCTTCCGGGGGGAAAAGGAGAGCATGGGGAAGGGCTGGAGTGTTCTGGAAAGGAAGAGCTGCCCACTCTGACCAGAAAGGAGCCCTGGAGGGGGCACTGAGTAGAGGCAGGTGGGGAGGAGCCCAGGGGCTGTGCCAGTGGCTGGGCCTTCACCTGGTGCCAAGTGTTCTGCAGGCGGGGAGTGGCCCAGTCAGGTCAGGCTCTCAGACAGCTCATCCCACAGCAGAAAGGGCAACCTGGAGGCAGAGAGCATCGGGGTCCGGGTGAGGGTGGATCGGGCAATGAACGCAGACAGTACCCCAGGTGGAACCCACAGTCTCTGAGAAGGTGGCCGCAGGGCCAGGTGAGAAGGCTGGAGCTGATATCACACATGAGATAAGGAGACTAGGGGAGAGACAGGAAATGCCAGTGCCCCCGATATGCAAACTTCACTGAAAAGCAACGTGGCCAGACATGAAGGAGGCTTCAGCAGGAAAGGGATCCTTCTCTTCATCTCATTAAGTTTCAGAAATTCCTTAACCGGTGACTAAACTCTCACCCCTCACACCCTGTGACCTACGGACAGTTCCTTGCAGTCAGGTCTGCGCTCCTCCCTGAAGCCTCCGGCTTTAACCGCTTTCCTTCTGCACGCTCCCGGGTCTTGGCCCTGTTACCGGGCTGTCCCCTGTGCCTGCAGGACTCCCCTGATGAGCTCATCTGCAGTTCCCATGCCCAGGTGTGGGGTTGCCAAAACGAGGATGACCTACCTAGTGGGGTGGGTGCAGGCGGCCGCACCCATGGCCTGCTGGGCTCACAGCATCCCTGAGCCACGCATTCCACAAGGAGCAGCCACGGCAGTCCCGGGCGGCACCGGTGCCAGCGTGAGGGTGGGCCTGTGCATGGCTCTGGGGCACCTCCATTCATATCAGTTCTACTTTCCCACTTTCGCTGTCAGGTTTTTTTGTGTGGATATCAGGCATGTTCTGGCAGAAGGAAGCAGAAGTGCTTCATGATTTTGCTTGAAGCAGGTATGATGTGTAAGGCTGTGGGGGCTCCCAGAGAGTCTCACCTAAAAGCTGAAAAAGTCAGGCTTTTCAGGCTTGAGAACAGCAGCAAGCTCATTTGTGGTTCTGGGCCCCAGCTTCAGGAAGACGGTATGGAAACAGCTGGATAGAGCCAGAAGCTGGTCCAACAAGGAGCTGAGGGGGAGAGTCTGGGTGGGGGGGTATGAGCTCCTAACCTCACACAAAACCCAGGCAACAGGCCCTTTAGAGATAAGTGGGAAGGCTTCAAAGCAAGCAGCTGGCTTGTGGGGGCCTTTCTGCTTTGCAGTTTGCAGTCCCTGGACTCTGGTTACCAAAGCACTTGGTTGCTGTATGAGTTTAGCGGCTGTATAATTTCATGTACCAGTTTTCCCATCAATATCCTCTTTCTGTCCCAGGACCCCATCCAGGAGCTCACAGTGCGTTTCACTGTCCCATCTCCCAGTCTCCTCTGGTCTGTGCCCATTTCTCAGCCTTGCCTTGCTTTTTAGAATCTTTCATTTTGAAGGAGCCCCCATCAGGGATCCTGTAGAATATTTCTAGTGTGGGTAGATCTGATGTTTTCCCCATAATTAGACTTGAATTGGATCTTGGAAAGAAGACCCCAGGGGTGACATGCTCTCCTTGTCACCTCATATGGACAGTGGACAATGGCTGTGTGACATGACTGGGGACGTTGGCTTTCCTCCCATAGCTTGCTAGGTTCATCCACTCTGAGTTACTACTAAAAATTAGGAAGTTAGTCAGAAGGACCAGCCCAATCAGACGTTGTCCCGACGGGTTTCTGAGTCATTTTCTCGAAACTGCAAAAGTATAATCTCCATCCACATTAATTAATGCTCAGTGTGGCATAGTGCGCACACAGTTCCCTCCTGCTGGTCTTGGGGTCCAGATGTCTTCTCTTCCCGAGCAGCAGCATGTACTCGTGTGCACGGCATTCATATGACAGCCCTGTTGTGCTTGCTCAGCTCGAGAGGCTGGCGGTGGGGTCCCCACAATTTGTGTCTGGTTCCTACTTGGTTTGCATAAACTATCCTGCTAGTGCATGAATTGGAAGGGGGTTTTTCTAATGCTCATCCAACTAGCAAGATCGACAGAAAAACCAGAATGCCAGTTGTATGAACTTTGATGGATTCATCTAACATACATTTATTGAGCATCGACTGTGTGCCAGGCTCTGGCACTGAGGATACAGCAGTGAATGAAACAGGCCAAAAAAATACTTGCCCTCATGGAGCTTATATGGTAGTTCTGGTGGGGGAGAAAAAAACAAGCATATGCCTATCAATAGGCAAAGTACAGAATATATCAGAAGGGGGTTTATTATGTGGATAGAAAATGGAGCGGGAGAGAATGATAGGGAGTACAGATGGGGTGTGTGTGCATGTGTGTATGCAATTTTAAACATGATAACAGTTGTGCAGAGACCCACAGAAGTGAGCAATGAGACCATGGGGAGCTCTAGGGAACAGTGCTGAAGGGAGGGAAAACAGGACAGAGGCCCCAGGGTGAAGGGGTGTGTCCAAGGGACGGTTGGGTGGTCCATATGGCTGATCGACAGGAGGGAGCGATGGAGGAGGTGGCAGGGTGGGGGGGGGGGCACAGACAGATGATGGAGGAGGCAGCAGGGAACAAATCAAGAAGGGGAGGGTGGGCTCTGAAGGCCGACAGGAGGACTGGCTCATACTCTGTGAGGTGGGAGGCTGGAGGAGTGGTGCCATCTCCCTGTTTCTCCCTTTCTGGCTTGGGTGGAAAGGGATGTCTGGACTGGGGTGGAAGCAGGGAGTCCAGGCTTTCCTGACACTGTCTTGGTCAGGGATGGCAGCAAAGGTCTAGAGGAGGATGCGGCAAGGAGGAGGGGAGCAGCAGCCAGATTCTGGACCTGTCTTGGAGGTAAAGTGAACAAGATGAGCAGACAGCATGAGTAGGATGAGAGAAAGGTAAACATCAGGACAACTCTTCTGTGGCTGGAGGGAGAGTTCCCATCTCCTGGGATGGAGAAGATGGGTGGGCAGGAGAGTAGGATCCAACCTTGACCAGAAAGTTGCCTGGTGGCTTGGTGTCTGAGCAGGGCATGGTGGGTGCTGCTGAGCCATGATGGCCTAGGGGAAGGATCGCGCGGCTCCTTGGGAAGAAGCTTGGCCCTGCGTGGAGATGGGCGAGGATACAAGACTGGTGCCTAGGCTCCCTCTACACTCTGTTGTCACTCTTCTGTCTTCAGAGAGGTGAATACTGCTGATTCTGCCATAGTTCCCTTATTCAGTAAATGTATTTAGAGCAAGGACTATGTGCTTAGGCACCGTGTAGGCATCTGAGGCTACAGAATTGTGTTGACTTGACCGTGCCAAGTTCACAGTCTGGTGGGGAAGATGCATACATGAAGAGAAAAGCATAATTTAAAGCTGCAAGCCCAATGAGAGAGCTATGCACAGAGTGTCCTAGGAGCACCCAGGAAGGGCCCTGGGCTGAGCCTGGTGGGTGACAAGGGGTGTTAGTGGGTGTTTCCTAAAGCAGGTGATGTCCCAGTTGTCAATCTAAAAAGTGAGAGGAAAAGCCTGGTAGAGGTGAATTCCTACAACCTAGAATAGCTTCGAGTCCATAGAAGGTGCTAAAGAAATAACTGTCAAGGCCGGGCATGGTGGCTCACGCCTGTAATCCCAACACTTTGGGAGGCCAAGGCGGGCGGATCACCTGAGGTTGGGAGTTCAAGACCTGCCTGACCAACATGGAGAAACCCCGTCTCTACTAAAAGTACAAAATTAGCTGAGCATAGTGGCACAAGACTGTAATTCCAGCTACTCAGGAGGTTGAGTCAGGAGAATAGCTTGAACTCAGGAGGCGGAGGTTGCAGTGAGCTGAGATTGTTGTGCCATTGCACTCCAGCCTGGGTGACAAGAATGAAACTCTGTCTCAAAAAAAAAAAGAGAAAGAAATAATTATTGAAAGAAGAATGAAAGGGCATTGGAGAAAGGAGATGCAGACAGCAGAAAAGCCACTGTGAACAGGGTGTGCTGGACCTCCAGCTCCGGCCCCTTAGAGGAGATGTTCTTTGTGTATGCCCAGAAAACATCCTCCCTTATACTGCTTGTGAGGCTGGCTCACCTTCATCCTGTGCTCATTTCATTTCATGTCTTCTCTGTTTA